TTAATTAAATATTTGAGTTTTAATTAGCGTTCGAACAATCGGTCCTTATTATATTAAACTTCCTTATTATATTACACCTACCAAAAAAAGGAAGAAAGAACATTCCGAGTTGTGCTTCGTAATATGCATCAGACAGCAGATAAAGACGCTTTAGTACATGAGCTGGGATTAATGGGACACGAAGTAACCAACATAGCTAATATATATAAGAATGGATCAAAAATAGCGCTTCCGCTCTTTTATATAGAATTAAAAACTAAGCCAAATAATAAAGACATATATGATGTGAGAGCACTCCAGAACATGATTGTGTCCTTCGAACCACCATATCCCAAACGTCAGGTTCCCCAATGTACCAAATGTCAACGCTACGGTCACACACAAAAATTCTGCCATATGCCTCCAAGATGCGTAAAGTGTGCAAGTAATCATCTTACTTTACACTGTCCACGAAAAGAACGCAGCAATAACGTAAAATGTGTACTTTGTAACGGAAACCATCCGGCCAACTATAAGGGCTGCAGCGTATACAAACAAATACAAAAAGAAAAATTCCCCCAACTCAGAAAGAATCAAGAGACCCATAGAACAGATACCTATGAAACTAATAGTCAAAGAGTAACCCCTGGTGTTTCTTACGCTCAAAAAACTTCAGGAAATAGTCAAGCGGATGAAATCACAAATCAACAAACTAATGTCGGCTCAAACCATTCAACGAAAATTGCCAACCTTGAAAACCTGATGACAAAACTAGTAGAGAGAATGGACACCATGCTTAATCTTCTTATGACTATGATTTCCAAAATGCACTAATGCAACACAGACTTAAAATAGCCGTCTGGAATTCAAATGGCCTAACGAACCACATCCAAGAAATAAAAATTTTCCTCGACGAGAAGAAAATTGATGTTATGCTTGTATCAGAAGCTCATCTAACAGACAAAAACTATATAAAAATTCCAAAATACATTGTCTACTACACAAAACATCCAAATGACAAGGCACACGGTGGCACAGCTATCATTATCAAATCTAATATAAAACACTATGAGTTAAATAAGTTCAGTGAAAAGTACCTGCAATCAACTAGCATTGTCATCGAAGACTGGTTAGGCAACCTTACCTTATCTGCGGTTTACTGTCCTCCTGGTCAACCAATCAACGAAAACAACTTTAGCGCCTATTTTAGTTCTCTTGCACACAAATTCATAGCAGGAGGAGACTTTAACTGTAAACATCATCACTGGGGCTCTAGGATAATTACAACAAGGGGTAGACAACTGCTGAAGTCAATAACAGGAAACAACCTACAACACATATCTACAGGAGAACCAACTTATTGGCCTACAGATCCAAATAAAACACCAGATCTCTTAGACTTCTGTGTGATTAAAGGTATCTCTCTTAACTACTTAGCAATAGAATCATGCTGGGACCTCTCTTCAGATCATTCTCCCATTCTAATTGACCTAGACTCCAAAATCATACTCAGAAATAAGCCTCCAGTCCTAACCAATAATCAAACAAATTGGAAAATATTCCGAAGCGCACTAGCAGAACAAATACCAACGAACTTGCCACTTAAAACAGAATTACAAATTGAAAATGCGGTACAACAACTTACTACCTCCATACAAAAGGCAGGTTGGATTTCTACTCCTGAACAAACAACATGGAAGGAAAGCATAAACTGTTCGCAAAGTGCAAAAAACCTGATCGATGAGAAAAGAAAACTTAGGAAAAAGTGGCAAAACACACACGCTCCTATTGACAAACAAAATTTAAACAGAATTACCAGAAGACTTAAAAATCTATTAAAAGAAGAGAAAAACAGGGGGATCCAAACTTACTTAGAAAATTTGACTCCGTCCAAAGACACCAATTATTCTCTATGGAAGGCAACGAGAAAGGTAAAAGGTCCACAAGACGCCATACCTCCTCTAAAAAATGTCAAAGGTAAATGGGCAAGAACAGACACAGAAAAATCTGAGACATTCGCAGAACATCTTTCTACAGTATTTAGTCCATTTAACAGAGTAGTGCCATTAGAACAAGAAGAACCATTTAATTCTTTTCTTGAGGCTCCATATCAAATGGAACTACCAATCACCAAGTTTAATATTAAAGAAGTAAAACACATAATAAAGAATGAGATACAACCCAATAAGGCTCCGGGATTCGACCTCATAACGGGTAAGATCCTTCAGGAACTAACCAATGACTGCTACAGAACAATCACTATGATCTTCAATGCTATCCTTAGTCTGCATTACTTTCCTCTGCAATGGAAAGTGGCACAGATTATACTCATTCAAAAACCTGGTAAAGATCCAAAAGATGTCAACTCATACCGACCGATTAGTCTACTCCCAGTCATCTCTAAGGTCTTTGAAAAACTTCTGCTACGAAAAATCAAACCAATATTGGACGAAAAGTGTCTCATACCTGACCATCAATTTGGTTTTCGTAACCAACATGGTACAATCGAACAAGTTCACAGACTATACACAACAATAAGAAGTAGTCTCGAGAACAAGCAATACTGTACTGCAGCCTTTTTAGACGCCTCTCAAGCTTTTGACAAGGTGTGGCATACAGGACTTCTGTACAAATTAAAGAAAAATTTACCTTACCCTTACTTTAAACTGCTTCAATCATACCTTACAGAAAGGAGATACCTGGTAAAATATAATGAAGCCCATACAAAACTCTACCCCATCCTATCTGGTGTACCTCAGGGTAGTGTGCTCGGACCGATTCTGTACCTGATATATACAGCTGACTTGCCAATAAGCAATAACCTAACGCTTGCAACATTCGCAGATGATACTGCTTTCTTGGCCTCTCATAGCAACCCAATAATAGCATCAGAGAGACTGCAACTACATCTGAACAAAACAAATGAATGGCTTAAACTCTGGAGAATTAGAGTAAACCCCTCAAAATCCACACAAATTACATTTACTCTAAGAAGAGGTACATGTCCACAAGTTAACCTCAATGGACATCCTTTGCCCCAAAAGCATGACGTAAAATACTTAGGTATTCACCTTGACAAACGTCTAACTTGGACCAAACATATATGGACGAAAAGGCTTCAATTGGGAATTTTATACAGAAAACTTTACTGGATGTTGGGAAAAAAACTCTCACCTATCGATCGACAACAAGCTGCTGATATACAATACAATAATAAAACCCACTTGGACATATGGCTCGCAGCTCTGGGGTTCAGCTAGCAAATCTAATATTATGATAATACAAAGATTTCAATCCAAAACTCTGAGAACAATCGCTAATGCACCTTGGTATATCCAGAATGATGCAATACATAGAGATCTTCAGGTACTAACAGTCTCTGAAGAGTGCAAAAAATCTTCTGAACAATATCAAAACAGGTTGCGGGTGCATCCTAATACCCTGGCACACAACCTTCTCAACAACCAACAAGCGAAGAGATTGAAGCGACATGGCCCCTTGGACATACCTCACCGATCCTGACAGAGCCTACAGTAGTGGGAGTTAGGCCCTCAACAGCACCCAGACATTGTGATCAGTGCCGCTTTTAGTGCTCGCGTATCAGTGTATGTGCGCATCCTACCGGTAAAAAAGCCAACTTGTGTCGTGATGATTTGGTCACTGGACCTTACATCTCTCTGTCATGTAAAGACAAAAAGTTTTACTTATTGTTTTCACTGCAAAACAGATTGTAAAAAATCTTAAATGTTAATAAAAAAAAAAAAAAAAAAAAAAAAAAATTATATTAAACTTTTGTTTTTTTTTATTCCTATACATACTTTGGTAACACAATCTATATCTATATTGTTTACAGAATTAATTAAAAATACTAAAAAAACTGTAAATAATAACACCTGCTACATTTAATCATTTCATTATTATTTTAGTTTGTAAAAAAACTTTAAAAAATTTCCAATATAATAATGATTGGTATAATATACTTCGTTTACGCTTGTACAGAACAGATATGAGGTAAATAGTCATATTTTTTAGAAGAAAATATTACAATGTATAGACTGTGTTTACAGTCTTGCGATTTTATTTTTAAGTGGTGTTGTCAGCAATAACGGTATTTGTAGAATAGTGGATGATCGAATTTGGTTCCTTTCTCAAATACAGGCCATTGAAGTTTCCAAAAATTTAGATTTTTTTGTAATATCTGTTTAGCGCATTAGAATATTCAAATGAAATTTGCTGTACATAACGTATAGATTGAATGGCCACTACATGTATAAGAACCGTGTAATAATCTAAATAAGTTACATAGATTCGGGATATGTCGTTTATAATTTAAAGAAGAATTTCAGTACGCCTCTGTAATATGCAATTTCCAAAACCATTTTTGGATTAACCAAGTAAATTCTATTTAAAACAACCTTTCGAATTTTCTTTATATCTCTTATAACAAATCTTGTAGTAGCTGTACAATCAATCCATAAATAATGCTTACCAAATTTCATAAGAATATTCTTGTGTTATTAGATGACATACCATTATTTTTTGATGAACTATTACCTATAAAAAAATCACAAGACTGTAAACACCCTGTATAATATACAGGGTATACAATGTATACCCTGTATAATATACAGGGTATACAATGTATATGTACCACAACATTTTACAGTTGTTTCCAATTTAGGGAAAGGTGAAATAAATACAAGATGCATGTAGTATATAACAATTAGGTATTTTTATTTAAATAGTACAGTCAGTGTACTATTTATTTATTTAATACACGGGATAACCCCATTAACAGTTTAAATTACAATATACAATATCACAGTTAGGATTCAAAAATTGAAATTGCTATATAAAATTAATATTAAAAAGTTTAAAAAAATGAGACCAAAAATCTTACATACTAAAAAACAAACAAAGTATAACAAGAACAAAATTTAACTGAGTTAAAGTTATATTGAAAATATCAAAATCGCGATCATTTAATAGCCCCTTGTATCTATTCCATGGGTTGTGAATACCATAGGTTGTTCTGTGGAAAGGAATATTGAAAACATTGTGGTACTGTAGAGCTTGATGGGGAACATTAAAGTTAATCTGGCTTAACAGGTTTGGACAATCAATAAATCCATGTAGGATCTTATATATAAACATAGCTCCTGACATGTCACGTCGGTTCTTGGGTAAAGATAATTGTTGTTCGGTACAGAAATAATCATGATTTTTATGCTTGTATTGCTTATTTAATACTTGCTTTCCATCACGAGCTACAAAGAAAAAAAATTAAATTATAAATAATTATATAGTATCCATCTAATATGAAGTTATCATAGGTTAAGTGTCTTACTTACATGTTTTGCTCCGATTGCAATTAAAGTACATAATATTTTTATCTTGCTTGTATTAAGACACAACATAGAAGCTGCAGGATGTTTCTTCCATTGATTGTTTCAAAATAATAAATTCTTAAACAAAAAAAAATAAATTATGAAATGTCCATTACTATATATTTTTAATTATATTTTATTAAGTACATAGAAATATTCTACAATATTTTAACAAAATATATCCTACTAAATTAAATATTAAAATAAAACTTACCATCCATATTTGTAAAATTAATTGTTTGACTTTCAAACTTTAAATTATGAACATTTTCCAAATGATTGATTAAAAATTTTCCTTGCTGAAAGGAATTATTACAATCAAGTTCCAAACATTTAAAACCCCATACATTTTTAGCATAAAATATGCGTTCAATCTATTTAAAATGAATTTGTGTGACGTGTCTATTTAAAGTAAATTGTCTTGAAAACATTTTATCGCAATATTTACACGTTACAGGCATTTATATAAAAAAATAATAATAAGACACCAAATGTGTCGATAGATATCAAACTCGCCCGAGTCCACTATTGCTTATTTTAGATATTATTTAAAATCCACAAGGAAAACAATTCCTGTAGCTGGCTGTATACCACGTATCACAAAAAAAGAGGTTAATCTTTGTAAGTGGGTATATTTATTTAAAAACCCTTAAAAGGGCTACATCAAAAAAACAAACGTTTTCGGACTAAACAGTCCATCATCAGGTTTAAAATCTGCCTAAAATTAGTACAAACCATTTAGTTAAAACAAACGTGATTATAAAATTTTGACTGTGGTTAAAAAAGCAAAATGGCTATACTTACTAGGTTAAAATTCCTGAGCCACCAAAAATACATGGGTAAAAACCCTTTAAATTACTTATAGTTATCAAAGATTATACATCTTGTTGTTAAAAAACTGTGATGTCAATTATTAAATTAAATATGACTTCAGGTAACATACATTGCAAAAAGTTTGGAGTTCCAGAGCCCGGGAGAAATATTTGTGCTCCTTCAAACAACCAGTCTCTAAACTTTTTCCACTCCTTCCCTTCATCACTTTTCGACCCTACTGTTAACTTTATAACCACCCACATCTATCATACCATAATATTTTATCATTTTCTTCACTCTTCACATCTACATCACATTCCTGTCCTTTCTTTTCTTTCATTATTTCTTGGTCAATTCATATATCTAACATGAACTCAATATGAAATCGTAGGCTTCCACGGCCAGAGTCAGAATTATAGTTTATTCGTCTTCCGGGTTTGGACCGTGTCATTTGTGAGTGACCCAAAAGTGGGTTCATCTCGACGTTTCGCTACAATTGTATGTAGCTTCTTCAGGAGAACAAAAAAAGGAAAAAGAAAGAAAGAAGAAAACAAAAGAACAGGAAGATGGGTAGTTAGCAACGGTAACTCAGTTACTCAACGCAACCAGAGGCGAATACTAACTACCAAGATGGGCATTTGGTCACAGTAACTCAACTACTCAACGCAGCCAGAGGTGAAAACCAAATGCCAGGACAGGGATTCACGTCCAACAGCTCAGAGCACACTTCGTGGCGCGAAAGTCAAGAAGCGCGCGCTGGCCAATCATGTGGCTGCATCGTGGTGGCGGGACCGGACGGCGGTTCTAGACTGAGATTCCAGATGGGAGACAAGTGGAATATTCCTGTGGCTTTTCTTCCGTATATTCGAAATGTCACTGATAGGATTGGCAAAATTCTTCGCAAAGAAGGTATCAGGACTACTTTTCGACCACCCAAGAGAATCTCACAATATCTACCCTCTCCTAAGGACCCATTACCGCCCCTATCTTCCTGTGGTGTCTATTCTATTCCTTGTTCATGTGGACATGTGTATATTGGCGAAACTGGTCGTTCCGTCAAAACTCGGATTCAAGAGCATCAAAGATGCATTCGATCAGGTCTTTTCTCCCATTCTGCAGTTGCAGAACACTGCCAAGAAACCGGTCATTCCATATTGTTCGAAAAAACCCATATTATTTCTAAAAGCCCCTTCTTTTATTCCAGGAAAATCCGCGAATCTCTAGAGATCCGAAAAAATCCCCATAATATCAATCGAGAGGAAGGATACTACTTGTCTCCCATCTGGAATCTCAGTCTAGAACCGCCGTCCGGTCCCGCCACCACATGCAGCCACATGTTCGAAATGGGAGACCTATCCCATTTCATGATTGGTATTAAATGCAGTTTTAAGTATTAAATGTAAATTAAAATAAATTTTACCTAGTTAAAATAAATATGTGTAAATATTCTGATTTTGTTTTGTTCAGATTTTGTTCATTTTTTGCTTCCCGACCACCACGTGGTCACAAAATCGAGCTCAAAAGATCAAAAATTTTGTTCTCATCAATTAATTTTTTTAAATTGATGTTGAGAAGCACCCTGCTACTCACAGCAACTATTTTCTCTTTTCCTTTTTATTATTATTCTTTTTTTGAAGTTCTTTTCTGCTTCTTAAAGTTCTTTTTTTTTCAGATACTTGGCCACATCTTTACCCAAAAAGCCCACATGTAAGTACGTGAATAAAAGCAAATACAAATGTGAATCTTTAACATCTAATACCATGTTCTACTTCCATAAGAAGTTTTATAGCAGTCATAAAAAAATTGATCAAGATAATTTCATTTTGAAGTACACATCTATAACTACTGTAGAACGAAAACGATCAAGAACAAATACCAGAACTCCAAAATCGCATTCCAATCATTTTTTTATTCCTGACCACAAGTCACAGCAACTTGTTCCAGTCTGTCTTCCAGCTTTCTGTCATGTGTTAAATATAAAACAAGGTAGAATAAAAGGAGTTACTAAAAGATTTGCAGAAAATAGGACTAGTGCATCAGAGAGGAGAGGTGGTAACCGAAAAGAGTTTGCATATAGATCGAAATTGGATTCGGTCCAAAAATTTATTATGAAATTCCAACCTTTGGATTCTCATTACTGTAGGGACAAGATAAAACAGAATTTATTTAGACCCTAGTCTTAATATTACTAAAATGTACAAAATATATGAAGATCAATCCTTACCCGGATTCTCAGTGACTAAATCGTATTTCAGAAAAATATTTAATACATCTTTTAACATTGGATTTGGGACACCACGACAGGATGTTTGCTCCGATTGTCTACAGCTTATAGAAAAACTGAAAAGATGTCCAAAAGGCATTGAAGAGGAAAATATACGTGCACAATATAGAATTCATAAGATGAGAGCTAAATGCTTTTTTCAGCTTTTGAAAGATGAAGATCCAGATATACTCATCCTTTCATTTGATTGTCAAAAAAATCTACCCATGCCCAGGGTACCAGATCAATCAACATATTACTTAAGGCAGCTATATACATATACAATTTTACAATTATTGTGGGAAACTCAAAGGCAAATTTAACACGTCAAAATGTCTTCTCTTATGTTTGGACTGAGGATAAGGCACTAAAAGGCTCCAACGAAATAGCATCATGTGTCTATCACTGCCTAAAAAATTTAAATATTGAGGGAAAAAAAGTTGTCAGGTTGGTAGCCGATGGAATTGGTATGGTTTCAAAATGGCTATACGAGACACAAAATGATTTATCTAAAGTTGAGATAATTTTTCCAGTAACAGGTCATAGCTTTATTCCTCCTGATAGGGTGTTTGCAATAACTGAAAAAAAAAATAGGGCGTCTGGAAAACATATTAAATCCAAACGACTACATTAATTTAATGTCGTCTAATACTACCGTCTACAATTTAGTTGATCAAGTGCCTGTATTTGATTGGAAAGAAGCATGCAAGAATGTGCTTAAACCCACACAGAGCCTGCACTTCCAAATCAGTAAATGCAAGCGCATAATTATTGAAAAGGTGATTCAAAAAATTATGGTACGGGGTGAATTATCTTACAGAAATGACATAAGTCAACTCTTACCAATAACAAAACGAGGTAAAAAGATTTCTCACATATTACCTAACAGAATAACTCAAAGTGTCACCATTAAACAAGAGAAGCTTGATGATGTTAATAAACTGTTGAAAAAACACTTTGGAGATCAGTGGCCGGAAATCCCGAAGCTAAATTATTTTAGAAACGTTCTGGCTCTACCCGGACATGATGGTGAAAATGTAGGTGGTGAAGAAAATGACTTCGTACCTTGTACGAGGAAATACTTGATTTTGTATAGTTCTTTGTTCTTGCTTAGATTTCAATATTTTTATGGTTAATATCTATATATTCAAATTTTTTTATTAATCTCATTCGTTTTAATCTCATATATCTAATAATCTAAAAAACCAAAAGACAATAAATATGTTAGCTCATATTTTATGGAAAACATATTTTTATAATAAAATTGACCTTCAAATTTCCTGAGTCCGTACCTCAGTAAGTAAGTCATATCAAACTCACCTAAGTCCTATTGCAATATTTCAAACTCTCCAAAGTCCAATTATCTATTTTTCAATATTGCCCAAATCCATAACCATTATAATATCAAATATGCCTTAGTCCTAGTAAAATTAATGAAAAAGTGTATCTACATTGTGAATTTAATTTGATTTTTGACTTGTCTGTGTTCCCAGGCATAATATTGATAATGCGAAATAAAATCACAACTTTAAACTAGCTAAAACCTCAAACTACAAAAAAACATCATTATCTGAAAAATGTTTACTCGTGACTTGGGTGTTTTTGATATATATCGACACAAATATAAACATAAGAAATCAAATAAAGTTAGGTTAAGTCCAAACAAATTCACTTCACTTCACTTCACTTCGTCTTTTTGGCTTGCATACAAGTGCATCCGCCAGCACATTTCTTGTGTGTTGCAGTTTGTCTTGCTCTTAGCAATACTGCAGCACTTCTCTATAAAAAAAGAAGATTACATAAATAGTGTTTTCTTAAACCATGAAAATACGATACGATGGCAGTTGTCAGTTGACGCAAAGTGACGTAATATTATTCTCCATCTCCATGGACCATGCATGAGCAGTGATGTTCTTTGGGAGGGATTACCCACGGTTCCTAGACTTACTCTAGAGTAAGTCTAGGAACCGTGGGGATTACCAAACAAATTCATAAATGTCAAACTGTCAAATTCAAACTGTTCCATTCCCAAAAGCTTAGGTGGTGGGGGGTGCCTAGTCGGGAAATGGACCGCAGGAGTGTGACGTCACGACTGTTACATTGACATTATTACTTTCCAAACAAAAGTTGAAATGTCAAATCTCAAGACTTTTTAATTTCTATAAAGTTAACATTTTGCTTCCTCTGCTGCTTTTTCTTGTAAGCATAGTGTTTTTTACGATAATACCATCATAATTCAGAGTTCTATTTCTATTAAATATAGTTTA